GCAAATCATGCCGTAACTTTAATATTTTAATAAAAAATAAAAAAAATATTTTATAAATTAAATATATTATCTTATTAAGAATTTCATCGAGTTAACTATCGTAAGTTCATTATCTTACTTGAGAACATATCATTTTATAATAATTATTTAATTTATTTTTACCATTAACTTATAAATGAAGGTTACAAGATTAAAAGTTTATAGGATTTGTTATTTTGCTCAATTTAAGAAGAAGTTTCTCTACATTCTTCTACATTCTTAAACTTCTTTATATTTTTAAATAGGATTTTTCTACATTATATCTTAAGAGCACAAGTTAAGAGTGTAATTATTATATTTTTTATTAATTATTATTAAAAAAATAAAAATTAATATTTATTTAAATAATTATTTAATTAAAATGATTTACGTGGCACTAGCGATAAAATTAAAGACAGTTTTTATATTTTTAATAATAATTAATGTAAAAAATACAATAATTACACTATTAACCCGTGCCTTTAAGGCACATATTAGACAAACACCTCTAAATATTCTTAGGTAAAAAATAATATCTTGAGTTGAGTTAGATAAAGATAACTATATAAGCAGTGCATATTTAGCTATTATAAAGTTTTAGCATTTTAGAAGCAACCCATTATATGTATATCTTTGCAACACTGGTAAAATCTATTCTCTACAGATGTGTGAATTGTTTTAAGTAAATTTTTAATATCTATTTTAGTGATATTTTCTATTTAATACTTTTAAATAAATTAACTAATTATCAATTTTCATGATTTTATGAGGGAGGTATTACAATGACATGATGTGGAGAGATAATGAAAAATATTCAAAGACTAACAATTATAAGACAATTTATTTTTGCATTCAATGATCTATCTAAGGTTAGATTTGAGATAAATCCAATATTTGTGAATAAAAAAGGGCACACTTACACCTCCCTAAATTATTTATTATGGGTGTCTCAATGCCTCAAAACAGGTACAAGGTTTTAGATCCTAATCTAATTATTAGCACAAGCATGAATGGCATTGGGCGGGCTATTTATTTTTGCATTAGATTAATGGCATGTGGACGCCTAATAAAAAATTTTAAAAAAAAGGCATGTGAAACTGGTATACCATTCATGCGCTACAATCCTTCAAGGAATTGTGCATGTTCTTTGCTTTCAAAATTGAATACACATGTATATATATATATATATGGTGTAATTTAGTGGTAATTTTTTTTCATTTGAAGTAAAAGATCTTGAATTTGATTTACATGGTATGTGGGTGGGGTGGGGTGGAGTGGGTAAGAGATGGAAGAGGGTTGTCTTGTTGGCTCAATGCATTCCAAGAGGGGGGGTGAATTGGAGTATCAAAAATTTCTTTTTCTTTGCAATCACAAAGCAAAAAAATCAAAGAGAGGAGTAAAGAAAAGCTTATACAATGATTTTATAGAGGTTCAGTCCAACCACTTGAAACCTAGTTCTCTATCTTAATTTCACTCACCAAGGATTTCCTCCACAATCTCTGCTAAACAGAATAAGGGTGGCTTAAAGGAGCCATTAAATTCTTTTACAAGAAGATGGGTTTTTTTTTTCTCAAATCTCACCCTTTTATAAGACAAACCCAAAAATTGTTACTACAAATCACTTTTGAAGAAATAATCATACCTCCAAGATAATTCTCAAACAAAACAAGTAGAGGATTATAAGTGAAGGTCACTCAAAGATCAAAATCTTAAGTTAAAGCACAAGTTGGTAGATAAAGGATATACAATGTAAATGCCTAAAACTAGTTTTAAATCTTCTACCTACCATATTTATACCCCCTTGGTCGAAAATAACTATTTCTAGCCATTGGGATTCATTAAATGCTTTGCATATCAATTTAAATTCGAGAAAAAGTGCTACAAATTTTGTCAGTAGAGCTAACTCTACCACTAGAGCCAGTTTTGCAAAGCCGATTATCATGTCCAAAGCTGGCTTTCCTACTCCTCCTGCACATTCTGTTTTTTTGAAGAGCCGACTAAAAAATGAAAAACCAACTTAAGAGATCTGACTTCAAAAGATTAAAAAATCTTTAAGGAACATGACTATTGAGCATTAAATGCGCCATTATAGTTGGCTGCAAAGTCATAGCCTGCTTTGCGTCCATTTTCCACGCACGCCAAACTGTGAACTTGAATTTTTTACTCGTAGAGCCGGTTGCAAAATTGTAGAGCTAGCTCTCTACACCAATTTTAGCATTTTGGTCCATTTTTAGTGCAATCTCAGTTCATTTACTTTTGCCATCTTTTAAGTGCTAAACTACATACTTAAATGAACAAATTAAACAATTAGTCATTCAAATGTGTTTTATAATTATTAAAATCATAGGTACAATATGTGTCTTGGTGTGCAACCAAGGTAAAAAAAAAATTGAATATACATGTGGTGATTTCTTGGGTGTTTTAACACTGATCATTTTTATTGAATGAACGCCAATATGCAGTTGAGGAACGGATGGTTATTGTGAGCTGTAAATATATATATATATATATATTAGTGTGTATTAATTGTAACTCTCAAAAAAATTAAAGTTCTAACTTAAATTTAGAAACCGATTGTATATTTTAATATAATCAGTTTTTAAATTTAAATATTAATATTTAATAAGATTAATTTTAAAATTTTGAATTATATTTTAATTAAATAAACATAATTTAAGGTTAGAACTTCAATTTATTTAAAAAAATCGAAACCCATTTACATTTTTCTCATATATATTGTAATTTATTTCTGATGGTAAAAAAAATTAATTAAATGCATTCATAAATATTCTTTCTCTATATTTAATTGGTTATTGCAGGCTTATGGCCTCTTGTATCAATGTGTAAGTTGGTAGCTTATATTTGCTAGCTGTTGATGTTCACATAATGGTTAATATTGTTTTTTGGCTCAGAAAAGTGCAAACTGCAAAGTGCATTTAATTAATCATGTTATTATATGTAAATTATTGTTCATGATCATATATTTTATTAGTTAATTATGTTTATTGTTATTACTCTTTGACGATTCTTTAGAGAAAATTATGTTGCCCTACTCATTTAGGAACTATGGAAGAGAAAAAAAAATTATGGAAAATGAGTTTATGAAAAATTTGACAACCTAAGAAAAAAAGACTAAAGAAGATAGCTAACCAATTTAATCCATATAATTATTTTTGATAAAAATATACATAAAGTTTGGTTTGGTATATTTTAGAAATGTAAATTAGTTTCTTAAGTTTACGTGAGGAGGAGCCGGCATTTGTGGCAATAATATATGACGTAAATAAATAGGCTCTCTTGAAAATTTTTAAGAGAAAATGGGTTTTTTTTATAAACTCAACTGTTGAGAAATTATAATGAATATTTCTCATGTGAGAGATTTTATATCTCAAAGTTTGAAATTATGATATTGTAGTTGCAAAGAATTTCGGGGTACTCCTGAGCTCGGCTCTCCACTTCTGCTAACTTGCAAAGCCCTGAGGTTGATTCTTGGGGTAGACACTTCGATGCCTAAGTCAGCAATAATCAAAACTATCAGGTATGGATCAAAAGCTGAGCTTGAGTTTGGTTTCAATTACCTTTTGGGGAAGACCCTTGGGGGGTATTTATAGCCTTCAAAGGGGTATCCACGTGTTGTTTTTCATGGGCAATCAGGATCATATGTGTCAATGATCGTAGGAAACTCTCCTGAAAGATCTATGCATGTACGGAGTTACTGTAGAACAGGAGGTAAGGGGACAAACTCGAACTCGATTGAGTATGTTGTTCTTTAATCAAGTCAAGGTGACTAGATTGTTGGGAAAGCTCCAACTGTCCGAGGTTATGTACCTCGGACTACTATGAGGTACGTGACCTTTGACTACCAACATACCTCAAATACCTCATGACCTCTAACTACTAACGTACTTCTGATACCCCATGACCTCTAACTACCACCACTACACTATTCCCCCTCTGAAGTCATTCACTTGTGAATGATACGAGAGTATGTGTTGGGGTCCAGTCGAGGGGAGCATATCATGACATGGGGTCAAGTGATGAACAACGGAGGTCGCAATGCAAACATGATTCGGGGTCGTGTAACGTTTGGTCGGAGTCAAAGTGACCATATAATGACAAGGTCGTGTGTTATATGGTCAGAGTCGAAGTGACAATATCATGACACGTGGTCATGTGATGTACGGCCAGAGCCAAAGTGAAAATATCATGACTCGTGGTCATGTGATGTACGGCCAGAGTCGAAGTGAAAATATCATGACACCTGGTCAGGTGATGTACGACCGGAGCTGAAGTGAAAATATCATGACACGTGGTCATGTTATGTATGGCCGGAGCCGAAGTGACAATGTCATGACGCGTGGTTGGGATGTATAGTCGGAGCCAAAGTGAAAATATTATGACTCGTGGTCATGTCATATATGGCCGGAGCCGAAGTGACAATGTTATGATTAAATGCAAATACATATAAGCGAAAGTTAGGGGTTGGATTTGACATGAACAGGTCTTAGGTATGCAACAAAAAATGAACTAATTTATGGGATGATAGCTGTCCTCGTGTGACGCATTGTAATAACTACGCACTGACGTGAATAATTGCCGAATTCGAACATATGTGATCTTGACTGCTGGATGCGAGCGATCATGACTAGTGAGGTGGGAGTATGGTTTAGTATAAATAGCCGGGTTTGAATTATTCATAATTTTACCTTACTGAATTCATAGCGGAACCCTGCTGAAATCGAGCTGGATTACCTCATCGTCCGAGATAACAATTGCCATGTTCGAAGTCAAAGTTGGGACGTGATTACAACATGAATATTTGCGCAAGTGTTTCACTTTAGCCATCCATACGTCAAGTAACTCTGAGCTCTACCTTTGGCTTAAATGATCTAAATTACTTGAATTTAGAATTAGGTCACAGTTAGGGAAGTTAGATATTCATTAGCAAGTGAGGTAGGAAAGGATAGAAATTATAGGTGATCATGATTTTTGTTTATATGTATTCCTTGTGGTGAAAATTGTGGTGTCAAAGATGTCTTCCGAAGGAACTTTAAGTGTTGGAAGGGAAGGAGAAGTGGGGAGCCTAAGTTCAAGCTTGAGCTCTACCTCAAGCTCGAGCTCGGGTGTGAAGAATGAAAGTAGGACATCTGTTAGTGGAGGTAGCAAGGTTCAGAAGTATAGTACTATCCCGACAAACATTTTAGAAGTTGATGATTGTCGGGATAGGTGTTATGGTGAAAGGGAAGAAGTGGTGGGGGACGTTATAGGGTATAAGTTGTGCTGGAAGAGTAGGGGAGAGCTGGGGTATTTGGTGGAGAATTACGGCATCCCACCTCACGTGCTGGTAAGGCCAGCCAAGAGTGAGGAACGGGCATATTCAGCCCTAAAGGATCACTGGATGCCTCTGTATGTGCATTATCTAGTAGCTAGATTTCGATTTCCTATCCCCAAATTGCTGGTGGCATTGTTGAAAAAGTACGGGATCGGGCTGATACAGCTCATCCTGAATGGAGTTAGATTGGTGGTGGGGTTTTTAGTCTACTACCAAATTCGAGGCGTGTCCATCCCAAAGTAGTCAATACTGTACCAGCATGCGTACCGGTTTTGTTACTAGAACGGTATGTACCGGATACCAAATACCGAAATTTTTCGCGTACCGTTTCGGATTTATTGCTATAAATATATATTTTTATAAATTAAATATCAAATTTTAAAATAAAATAAGAGATATTAATATTTAAAACTATTATATTTTTATAAATTAAAAATAAGTTTAAAATAATAATTTTTAATCCCTTAACTTTTAATATATACATATTTTTTGTCCATTCATTTTAAATTAAAGGATTAAAAATGTGTGTATTTAAAAAAACTTAATGGAGTAATTAATACAATGACTAAAAAAAATATGAAGAATGGATTAAAAAAGTATATAAAAAAACTAAATGATGAAAATTATATAAAATATCAAAATTGAGGACTAAAAATGAAATTTGCCCTTTTGAAATTTGAATTGATTTGAATAGTAGCGGGCAACTTAAAAAATGGAAGATAAGACAGTTGGACGCGAGAACAGAGGAGGATTTGCGCAATCAAAATTGCAGGGTTGGCCAAAACGACATCGTTTTGGTTAGGAAATCTTTTTTTTTTTTTTTAATTCTTGCATATTGTACCGGTTAAATTTCGGTGTACCGGCCTGTACATCGAAATTTGACCGAAATCACCGGATTTTGACCAAAACGAAATTCATTCTTATTTCGGTTCGATTTACTCTAAAAATCAGTACATACTGGCCGGTACGGTATGTACTTCTTTAGTCCATCCCCACAGTAGATTTATTTAGGTATTTTTTTTATAATTAAGGGAGGAAGTGAGAAAGAGAAGGGGTGGTTTTATTCCACACCTTGGATGGCAGGAGGTAGGAGTAGGAACTTGATCATAGCAAGTTCTTCTTCTATTAAGGGGTGGAAGGAGAAGTTCTTCTTTGCTGATGATACAGAGTGGGGGAGAAGAGATGGAGAGGTGGAGGAGCTCAACAAATGGAAGGGGAAGAAGCTGAACCCAAATAAGTACCAACTGGGGGAGGTGGAAACAGATGAGGTGGAGAGGCTGGACAAGGTTGGAAGGGAGTTAGTAGATATAATGTACCTAACTAGTCCAAATGTGGTGGAGTCGTCTGGGATCTATGAGAGGAGCTCGCTGAGTGGAGATGTGTGTTAACTAATAAAATTTCATTTTAGAAGTTAAATCTGATTGCAGCTTTAACTCGTTTTTTTTTTGCAGAAGAGATGAATCGTTTAAGAGCGGGAGGTAAAGTTATAAGGCTGCCAGAGAAAAGGTCTATGGCATCAGCTCCGAGTGCCTTGGAGGAAAGAGTAGAGGGTGGGACTTCAAGACCCCACTGAAGTGGAGGAGCTCGAGCTGAAGTGGGGCCCAACTCAAAGCTAAGGAGGAGGGCGACTGAAGAATAGGTTGCAACTCGAAAGAGGAAAATGGTGGAAGAGGTGCAGAAGCTGTAGTTTGAGGCCCCAATTGAGTTCGTGTCTCAGCCTCCCCCTGTGCAGATCGATCCATCCTTGCGAGAAGTGAAGGTTGTAACACACAGGAAAGGGAAAAGCTCTATTCCCTTTCCTAGGCAAACGTCGAGCTTCCTCGAGTCCGACAGGATAGCTGCCAAGCGATTCATCAACTCCCACTTCCCTAAAGTGGATCTACAGAGGGCCAAGGATGAAATGACGCTGAATGGAGGAGCTGGGGTAGTTAGGCATGCCTTGGAGGTGAGATGTAGTTTCTATCCTCCTCTTTTTTTTTTTTTTTTTTTAACTTCTGCTCCTTTTGCAAATTGCAAACTTGGTGAATGCGATGGCAGTTGAGTTCTTCGACTGCCTCCTGGAGCGAGTTACCTTGGCTGGGAAGAACGAGGAGCTCAGCCAGCAAAAAGAAGGGACTGAGAAAAGCTTCGATGAGCTGATCTTGGAGCTTGAGAAGGTCAAGGAGAAGTTGGCCACTTCCAAGAAGGCTGTCAAGCTAGAGGAGAAGAAGAAGAAAAGATGCGAAGAAGCTCTAACTAAGAGAGAAAGTGAGCTGGCCGAGGTGAAAAAGAAAGTTGAGTTGGCGGTTCACAACTATATGGAATAGCACATTACGGACTTCATCTAGTCTCCAATGTTTTCCGAGGTGGTGGACCTCTGCCGCTTGCCAACTTTGGTGATGGCCTTTATTGATTGTCGTAAGAAAGTGAAGGCTCAGAATCCAAAGGTGGATGTGACCAACATCACGTTCAGCCCTGAGGAAGCAAGGGTAGAGAAAAACAAGGGTAGCAAGACAGCAAAGTTCCATCTCGAGATAAAACTAAAGTGGGAACGGGATGACGTTGGGAAAACTATCTTCCCTCCCATCTTGGATTATGAGTTCGTCACAATCGATGAGGAGGAGGTCGAGGTTCCACGAGAAACCAAAGTGGTAGAAAACGTGCGGAACGAAGAGGTGGACCAACAGCATCACATCATTGATTGAGCTCGGCTAGCTCGTTCTCTATCTTCTTCTCTCTCTCTTTTGAATTGTACCCTTTAAGAACAGGTGTATTTTGTTTTTGATTTAATGCATTGGAAATTCAAAAATTACTATTGTTTATTATTTCAGCATAAATGTGTGACTTCTGACCTCGGAACAATAACTTCAAATAACAGACATTAGAACTGTAATAAAACATTTAACTTAATTCCCAAAGTAAAATAGAAGTATGACAGCAATGGTTGAGTTCATATCTAATATGAAGTAGAAGTGAATTTCTAGTTTCGACTTCAGAAATATGATGTTATAACTGGATAAGACAAAGTTGTATTAAGAATTAAATTTCTTTAAATTATTTACATTCCATACTCTAGGGACTCTCTTACCCTCGGTGACTTGAACCACATAAGCGTCGGGGTGAGGTATTTCAGCCACTACATATGGACCTTCCTAGTTTGGCGCTAATTTGCCGAAGCGAGTTTCGAAGCCGTTGAACCTTGCCTCCTTGAGGACAAGGTCATCGATCCTAAAGCTTCGAGGTTGAACTCACTTATTGTAAAGCTGGAAATCTTCTACTTATATGCCATTGTCTGAAGTCGAGCTTGCTCACGGACTTTGTCTAAGAAGTCAAGGTTTTCCTAGAGTAGTAGATCATTTCGTGCTGGGTCGAAGTGGCTAACTCTTAAGCTCGGGACACAAAGTTCAACAAGAATGATTGCCTCAATTCCAAAAGCCAAGTGATAAGGCGTTTCGCCTAATTAGAAGAAATTGTTGTTCAAGGGTGTGTTTATCATAATTATTTATGACCCTGAATGAGAAAATTGGAATTAGTGGCATACCTATGGCTATTCGACATGTAGTTCAGTAAGCCCACAAGATATTGTTGAGCTCGTCCACCCACTTAGCTTTGAGCTGGTCCAACCTCGACTTGATCCCTTCAAGATAACTTTGTTGACAGACTCAACCATGCCGTTTGGCTCAAGATGATAAACCGAAGTGAATACCAACTTAATCCCATAGTTGGAACAGAAGTCCCTGAAAGAGGTGCAATTAAACTGAGGCCCGTTGTCAGTGACAATTTGATTCGCCATCCCATACCTACAAGTGACCGAGCTAAACACAAAATCCTCAATCTTTTTTGAGGTCAAACTGGAAAGAGGTTGGGCTTCCACCTACTTCATAAAATAGTCAACTGTCACAACCAAGTGTGTCACTCCTCCCACACCTTTGACAACATAACCCAACAGATCTATCCCTCATTGGGCAATAGGCCACGGGGCAACTAAGTTGGTGAGTTCTTTCACTGGTTGGTGAGTAAGGTGTGCAAAGAATTGGTACTTTTGGCACATATTTCTTGGCAACTTCTTGCATACTAGGCTAGTAGTATTCTTACCGGAGTACCTTATGAGCCACAATCTGAGCTCCAATATGACTGCCACATACACCTTCATACACCTCACGAAGGACATAATCAACCTCGTAAGGAGTTAAGCAATGAAAAAGAGGGAGCGAGTATGACCTATTGTACAACATTTCGTCAAGCAAGGTGTACTGACATGCTTTTCTCCTCAGCTTCATTTCCTCTTGCTTCTCATTTGGGACAATTCCATCTCAGAGGTAAGCCTTGATAGGAGCTGTCCAGCTCAGAGTTTCAGGATGGTTAAATACCCTTTTTGGTTCCTCTACTATAGGAAAAAGCCCCTTTTTGGTCCCTGTACCGAAAAAATCCATTTTTTGGTCCTTACTGTTCACAAATCCGGTCCCTTTTTGGTCCCTCCGTTAATTTTTGCTCACGTGGCACGTTAACTTAATGGGAACAGCTGATGTGGACTTAATGATACCCTCCACGTCACCCTCCACGTGCCGGAAAAAGAAAAAGAAAAGGTTAAATGCTAAATTTGATCCCTCAACTTTATAAGTTTGCATTTTTTTTATCCTTAGATTATTTTTTTTTACTTTTTTGATCTTTTAATTCTAAAAATTACACAATTTTTATTTTTCCATCAGTTAAACATGATGTGATAATTAAATAATTCCATTTGACATTTTTAAAAAATTTTTTTTATGACATGACAATTATATATATTATAATTATGTTATATAGATAAATAAAAATATTATAATTATGTTATATA